TTGATATTACAAAACTGAGCCTTTCATTACAGTAGAATCATCTGGAATCCAAATGCAGTGGTCCTATATTTGCCCTATAGTTCAGAAGAACAAGGAACTTATCCCTTACATAGCAAATTTGACATTCAATTTCTAAGCCTCTTTTTAAAGTTAATAAAGTTCTTCCCCTGCCTGAGGATATTTGGTGACAGGTGATAATCTAACTTCTTTAAATCTTCATTCTCCCCCCAAAAGATTCCTAAATCTGATGTGCTGGTTGTCTTGTTCATGGCATTTGGTAAACACTAAGACCAGAGAGATCCATGCTTGGTCTCCTGTAACCAATATGAGACCTCCTTGGTCAATATGAGGAACCTGAATGAATGTCCTCATGCACACAAGAGCTGGGCTCATTCTGCTGCTGCTGAAGAAAACTGCAGCAGCTCCATTTACTTCAAGAGGTGTTTGCAATACAGAGCATCTTCTGAAAACTTAGGCTGCTCATATTCAGTGCATATGTGTAGGCTTGGAAATTCTGGCCATGCTTTACATGTGTGCAAGAAACACCACAGGAAGACACACCTGGATACCACCACTCCTGGTGAGCCATTTTGACACCATCTGTGTGGTTTTTTAAACTACATGGGGACTGTAATTTTTAAGAGAGTTCCTTATTCCAAGGTGCCAGTGTTTGAAACACTGTCTGTAACAGCACTTGCATGTCCACTGCTGCAAAGCAGATTATTTAACAATCCATTAACATGTCCCTTGGTTCCTATAGGAATTTCACATGTGTGGACATTTCTGTCCCATAGTCTTCTAGCAAACTTGGGTAATATCACAGCAATTTTAGCACCCACCTTCAAAAGTGAAGAGCAATGTGAGCCACATGCAACCACCACGTGAAGCCTGTTCACCACAAAGTGGAGAGCTCTGGCACAGCAGGACGGAGCAGACCTCAATGAGAAGCCCATTCAGGCATTGGGAAGGGACAGCCAGCATGGGTAGGAGATAGATTTGGGTCTACTCATTAATAACATTGCTCTTCCTTTCTTTAAAACAGTGTGATATTCTTCAGTGTTTAAGCACTCTACATCTGTTGTCTCTTTATTGCTCACCTTTAATTATCTTTCTAAAAACCACGGCATTCAGGACTATTTAGTCTCTTTGTTTTCCAATAACTAAAACTAATGACCATTTTAATGCTTTAGATACATTCTTATCTAAAATGTAAGAAAGAAAAGTCTCCATTGTCAACCTAGATGAAACCAACATGTTTAGCACACTAGCCTGTGTTACAAGCTTGAGTATTTTTTAGAAGTGAAAATCCGAATTCCCACAAAAATAAAATACTGGGTGTCATTTCTTAGTGACTGTTTTTTCCCAATTTAGGAATTAGATTATGTAGAACAGATGGGACCAAATTTTGCTCCTCATTTGCATCAGCCTAACTCTGTTTATTTCAATGACAGCAGCTCCTAGCACAGTTAAAAGAGGTGTCTCTTTCTGGAGCTCCTGGAACATCACAGCTTAATAGCAAAAAAAGGCAAATGAATGCTTTCAAACCTCTTTGATTAAATAACCAGCAAAATGAAACAATTTAGGCAGCATATGGTGGTGTCACTTTCACAAAAGGTGTTATCACCAGCACACTAGGAAGATGGGATAGTTAATGTCAAAAAACAGGGAAATACAGTAAATAAGTCAGAGGGTAATGGTAGTGCACAGAACAGTGCCAGGAAAAAAGAAAGAAGACACAGACCCACCAAACAGGAGCAGAGATACCACAGAGCAACAGAGCTTATGTAGATGAGGGAGACTTTCTGTTCAGCTGGAATATACATTCTAGTTTCAAAAGCAAGCAGTTTCTTACACCTCTTTAATATGAACACACAGAATTTCTACCAACATGTGTGTATGTGTATGTATACCCATATATATATATGTACACCCATACGTGAAATTAGCACCACATCTTAAACATGTAACTGGGGCTTCAACAAAAATACTACTTGCTCACTAAATGTCATGGAACAAATCCATTTATGGTATTTTTATAGAGCATTTATGGACATTTATTGCAGCAATACTTACGTGGCTGATCTGAACACGACCCGCACACAGATCTGAACACGACCCGCACACAGCTGAATATATATATTTTCTTGACATTCATGTTTGCTGTCTGTATCTAAGGACAGTGCAGCCAGCTCTGCCTGAAAGGACTCTAGCATGTGTAACATGGACCCATACTGCCCAGCAGGGATTTATCCGGAGGCATATGGTAGGTAGCTTCCCAGGGTGCAAAAACCATTAAAAAAAAGCAGGCAGTTGCAGTGAAAATACAAGGGGAAGTCCCATGATCTGCCCAGGAGCAGACCTTAACCTTGCACTATGCAATGCTCTCACATTTTGCAGGATAGCCAACTCCATCCCCCTCCCCTGATGAGCACTGCTCTGGGCCACTCAAACTGGGAGCACCAGCATGGAGGTTCACAGGACCATGTCAGGTCATGACCTGGTCAGCCACTGTGGGACAGATTTCAGTAGAAACAAGTTTCCCCCATTACTCTCCGTTTGCCTTTGCCAGCCACAGAGGTTTTGAGTTATTCCTGTCTATTGCACCAAAGCGCAGATTATTAGCCTATGTGTCAGCCTGTAATTTGTTTCATGATGTGAGCCTGTACGCCTGAGTGGCTCTGTTCCCCTTTCTTTCAACAAAGACAGTCCATCCTTTAATTCAGCTGGAGCCCTTTTTATCTGGCTTCCTCACAGATCCCCAGCAAACCATCCTCTTTGCTTTGCAAATGATAAGGGTACCTGCACCCTGGATTCTTGAACTCCAATTTTATGCAAGCTACAAGGAGACTGTACTTCTTCAATGAGCACATCCTGACCCTCTGAGGTACTGAGCTTTTGTTCTCCTCCAGAAACCCCCTTTGCTTCAGAGGAAAGAAATGCTCCTCAGCATGTGCTCAGCGCCTTGCACGCCTCACAATTAAGTCATTTCCTGAAGGCCACAGAGTGAATCAGAAACAGTGCCAAGAATTTAATGCTGCTTCCTGAATCCATCCCCTGCTAACCATGAGCACAAAACCGTGCTCTGTTTACACAGAAATTAAATGACACTGAAGTTTTACTATTGCATGATTACACCCCATTTGTAATTAATTTTTCTCTCAGCTCTCTTCTCCATATTCCCATCTGGAGCATTAATTTCCCTGTTGAAACTGCATGTTTTTTAGAAGTCCCAATGGGAGAATCACAGTTGCTGGCCAGATCTGGGCCCTGAAGGGCTGTCTGTGCCAGCATTCCCCTCTCCTGCATAGGAGACGTCACCTCCTCCAGTCCCTTTTGTCCTTCTCCTGGACCCTGCAGTGCATTTGTCCGAGGCCCTACTCTAGGAGAGAGGAGGCTGAAAAGAAAAGAGGACGCTTCTCATCTCTCTTTGCAATGAGGCAAAGAGGTCTCCTAAAGACCGGGTCCGGAGCCAAAACGGGGGGCTGCTCTTAGGCGAAGTCTTCCCTCCTCTGTCAAAACAAGGGAAGAGAAACATCTGCAAACCCAGCATATTCCTCTTGCAGGATCTGCTCCTGGGAGAAGAGACAAGATTCAGGGCTGGGGAGAGATTCAACATCCTGCAGTCCAGAAACTGGACTGGAGTGACCTCAGCTATAACAGTTCAGACCCAAGCAACATAAGGGAATACTGCTGAGATGCTGTTTATGTCATTTCCATGCCCATCTCACCATATGGCCTTTCCTTCTACTATCTGTTACCAGAACTGATACTGACTATATCAGACTCTTAGAAGGGCTTGGCTTTTCCTCCCACTGTATGACAATACTTTTTCCACTTATGGCTGCTTATCCAGTACTGTAAGATCCCTCCTTCTGAAACCATGCTAGCTTGCATGCTCCCACCCAACTGAAAACGAATCTACATCCCATCTGCTCTTCATGCTGCAACGCTGAGTCCCCTTGGTCACTCATATCATTGCTGCCACCCCTTTGGGGTTGCTATCTCTTCCAAGGGAGTACAACCCACAGCAGGTCCCCAGACACATGGCACTGGCGGGGGGTGGGAGTTTGCATAGTCTGTGCAGCTCACACTTGTTATACACTGCCTGTTGGAGATTCACACCACATTCTGCCTCGGGCCTCCTACCAGGAACCAGGTCTCAGAGACCTGCCCACTCTCCATAAGCTTCACTGCAGCGGGGGACTTTCCTCTCAGGCTGTGTTTTAATTATGTTGTCAAGGGTTTAGCCTTTATTGAGTGCTTTGCTGTACTCTGGACTCAGCCTCATCTCCGACCAAGAGTTCAACATCTCAAAATCGTAACCTTGGCTCATTGGGCCAGTTGTGTACTTTTCTGTGCTTTCAACATCCTTTTTGTCTGACACTTAAAAACATGGTGATCACATTTCATGTGCTGTTGGTACCATTCAAGTGCCTGTAAGACAGTTTCACATCAAGCTGCATTCTCTTGAATTAAATGGAGACTTTCACAATCATCAGATGCTTTAGAAAAACCAATGGTTAGAAATTAGGCTAGTTTAGCTTAACTATCTTTATTTGGGCACCCGTTGCTTGCAGTTACAGACAGACTGAGTCACTGTTTAAACTCTTTCTGGTAGCTCTTTATATTTCCAGAGAATTTCAGCCTTGGGAAGCAGAAAGCTTTCACACTTACTTTCAGGGAGTATTCTCACTTTCTTTCGATCCTGGTTCCCTGTATTGCTCAGCAATTACTGCAAACCCTGACGTCTGGGCTCCCAGACTGCTTCCCTCCCAGTCCCAGTTATAATCAGACACAACTTTGAGCCCAGCCCACGAGAACCTCTTCAGTGTGGGCATCAGCTCTAACTGGGTGTTGCATGGACCACTCAGGAGTGCAGCTCCCTTGCAAAGGCAAGCCTGCAAAAGGTGATGAAACTGCTTGCAAAGCAGAGGTCAACACTGTTAGGAGCCTCAAGAGAGGAACACGGGACCTTTCTCACAGATTAAACACAGAACAGAGAGTAGAAATCAGTATATTCTGTACAAAACAGTGGTTTTCTGCTTTCCCTGTGGGGAAAAAAGCAGGCGTAATTTCCAAGAAGGATATGCTAATATGCACAATATGATCTCTATTTCAAAGAAATCTTCCGAGGTGTCAATAAATGCATTGATAAGACAAAATCCAAAGCCAAATCACAGCCCCAAATCCATAGATAGGTCTCCCCTCCTCCCTCAAGAAAATAAAAAATCGTACACATTGTACATCAATCTGTTTCTTGGAAAACTGGCATATTGCAACACCCAGGGTTGGCTCAGATGCTTCCATAGCAGCCAGACTCTTGCAAGCTTGAGCACTGACTGCTGAGGATGGCATCAGGCTTTTTTCCATGGCAATGCAGACCACTTCTGCTCAGCCATCTGTCTTATCTGTCACCTTTTAAATTTCACTGCTGTCCTTGTCCTTACAATTCTGACATTTCATATGCAAGCGTGCTGCATTCAAATCCCCAGTGCAGGATTTCTCCATAAAATTCCAGGTGCTGTTCAGAGATTTTATTTAAATGAAGGAATACATGTATTATCATCACAGGGAAGATTATAAGAACTTGCTATTTTTTTCCCCACTGACTAAGCCAGTGCAATTTTATTTAAGATTACTTAAGAGATCAAAAATGACAGGCTTACTGAAATGTATTCTGGTTTTCTTATAGGCGCTACTCAAATTGTTAATTCTGCTCCCAAATGCTAAGGAGTTACATAATGATAATAATTACCTCGCATTTCTATGGTATTTTCATGTCATGAGTATGTTCTGCAAGCTGAACACAGGAATAAATGGAAATGCCACCATTTCTGGGGGCTTTACAGCTATTGTCAGTGCTAGGTAGATAATCAGGAATGATAACCTATCTAAATAAAATACTTCAGGAAGGCTTGTTTGGAATGCAGACAGCCCCAGAATTGCAATTTTCACATGAAAATGTGGCAATTTACTTAAAGCTCCTGCTTTTCAAATCATGGCATCACAAAGTTTTTACTGGACATCTCTCTCTTTTGATCTGCAATTGAGCAAAGCTTAAACACAGGAAACTCAGAAGCTCGAAAACAAATGAAAGCAATCCCTGCTATATTGACTTAGAGGCAGCGTTATGATTTGAGAAGGAAGGGGAGGGTGCACCCGCCCTTTTCAATACATGCAGTCAGCAGGCATGGTTTTTGATATTATGCTGACTGCAACTTGTCACAAAGACAAGATGCAACCCACGTTAATTAATAGAGGCCTGGCAATCACTGCTCACACTGCTTCCAGCGATCTGTGTGTTCAAAGAACAAATCTGAGTCTGATCTTCACTCTGAGTAATGAATTATGGAATACCTGAAACCTGGGATTATAACATACATTACTCCACTGCTTACAGCCTGTGGCCATATTGTTATTAATTCTTTGCTTTATTGATTATTCACATTAAACGTACATGATGGAAAGTCCTCCTGGTCCCTCAAGAAGCAAAATGCTCCCTAGATCCCTGGACTGAGGTTTATGGATGTCAGGATATATGGTAAAATCCTTCCAAATTTGTCAAAGATGTGAAATTGCAGAGGATTCATTTAACCACACTGAACTCGCATGGGCATGCTCCTATCAAGGAGTTAAACTTCTTGAATTTGATCAAGTTCTCTTTGTTTCTGAAGGAGTTAAATTAAGTCATGGTGCAGCCATTTTAGTTGTGAATGGGAGTCTAATGCAGGGATTAGAGGAGGCTGAAATCAGCTTCTTTCTTTCTGTGAAGAATGGCCCTCAGTGTGATGATCCAAAAGGAAATCCATGTCCTTCCACAGCTCCTCCTGCAATCTTAGGGCCCATTTTTAACCTCTAAACTGGATAAAATAGTAAATGGAGCAGATAACCACAAAAGGCACAGCACTTGAACACAGAAAATTAACAACCTGCCTGCCGGCACTTCATCAGTTGACTCAGCAGCCGCAGAAGGAGACCCTTCAGTTCTCCCTGTTTATTTGCTCAGGATGGGAATGCTGCTGCTTTTCATGCACAAATGCCAGAACTGCCCTGGCCTTTGCAACCCTCACTGTCTTAGACATTTTTGGGAGTGCAGAGAAAATGCCATCACATTGTTTACAGCCCTCCTGAAGGGGTTTAATCCAGAGGATGTACCAACTTCTTACATCTGAGCCCCTTCCAAGTTTCTTGGCGTTACTCCTGACAAAACAAAGGAGGAGCGGAGGTAGTCAGGAATTGCAGAAATACTGGCCCATTGTGCAGAACTTGCAAATGCTAGCCAGGCTTTAGAAAAATGCAGGAATCCATGGCTGATCCAGCAAAAAGAGAGAACAAGATGAAGATAGCAAGCAAAGCCTGCCTTCTTTCCAAGCTGTGTGGTTTGTTTATTCGTATCAGGACCACAGAGCAAAATGGGTGGATATTTTGTTTGTTTCTTTCTTTTTTTTTCTTTTTTTTTTTTAAACAGAAAGAATGACTTGGCAGCAGGTTTTAATGTGAAGAAAGAAACGCAAGTCAATACAATCTAGATGATTGTGTCGGTTGCTTAAACTGGCAAGCTTAAAAATTCCAAGGGTGCCACTTTATCATTTATAATTATCTAATGTTGCAGTGCCTTTTCCTTTATTCTGCTTGGTATTTGAATTAAACTGGAATCCAAAATCTCAAAGCCAAACCATTCGAAAGAGATTTTTAGGAGGAGAGGGAAGAAGAGTTGCATGTGAATTCTTTTTATTTGCAGTCCAATCTAAACCCACAAAGGCCTTAATTTGAGATTCTCATTTAAAAAGGAACTGACATCCTGAAAAAGCAAGATGTGAGAATGTGTTAATATTTTAAAATCTGAACTGAACCACAGCCTTCATTCGACCTTGACTCTAAACCTTTAATGCTTCTTTGCCTCACCCCATCTCCACATGCTGCACATGTAGCTAGTATCTCTCCTGCCACAATTCGGGTTTTGTGTGCCATTTATTTTGCTTTTCCAGCAAATTCTCTTTTTTCTTCCTTATCTATAAAGAGGTCAAAAAGGAGAATTACCGTGCGTAGGAAATCGGCATTATTTCCTTTCTCATTTGCAGGCAGCTGCCAAGCACAATAAACGCATCGAGCTGCAGCTAGGCTCCCTTCCTCGGCTGCCCCCCCGCCTTCCCAGACCTGGCCAAAGAAAGAAGCACACCAGCTAAACAGGAAATACTCTGGGAATCGGGAGAGGAGCGTGCTGTTTTCTGCGCTGAACAGCAGAGGGGAGCAGCGGAACGGAGTCTGTCCGGCCGCGCACGGGCTGCGCAGTCCAGCAGCCGGAGAAGTCCCCAGTAGTGGCTCCCCAACACTTGGGAGGCCCCAGATCCTCTCATGCACTAGCATTTAATATATTTCCTCAATGGCTGTGAGGTGAGCGAACCTTTTTGGCATCAGACCACATCATCTTCGGGATGATGCAATAGGGAATGCCTGCTATTAACCCTGTGTTACACTCTTCGTGGTCCAGATCTGCAGAGATGTTGAGTGCCTAACTCCCACGGGTTTGGAGTGGTCTCCACAGCCCTTTGAATGTGTATCAGCTGCTGTTTCCCTAGGATAAGTATGTATGAGCAAATGACACATCCAATTATATTCAATCAAATTCAAGCTAGCATGTAACAGACTCTGGAAAGAAGTTCAGAGTGAGGGAAGTATATAGTATCAGTACTTGAGCATTCATACTTTGCTGTGTCTGTAGTACCTATTTATTTCATACAGCTGATGCCGGGGGAGATGTGGGAGCTGACCCACTAAACTGGAACTGGCTCGTATTGTGTTGTGAGCCCTGTGTGTGAGGTGTTAGGAAGCACTCAGCCTGGAAAAAGCTCATGGGAAGGGCTTAAATTTATGAAGCAAAGGATGGGGAGGCCTTTTCAGAAGGCTGAAGACTACAAATATCAGCTGCCTCCCAGGTGATATGCAAATCTTGGAAAAGAGGTTGCCTTGAAAGTCACCTGGTCTTCATACAGACCAGCACGCAGATATTTTAGCTGCCTGCTGAATAGCCTTGGCATGATATCAAGCTAGGATTTGTAAGCAGATAGCCTGGAAAATGTAATAGCCTTGCAGGATGTGGGGCTTGCTACAACCAATATAGGGTTTGCCATAGGGTCATATCCACTGCAAACTGTGGTACACCCAGATTTGCAATACAGCATATGCCTGTAAGTCTGGGGAGACATGGCCTGGAATGACACTTTTTTGAGGTGAGCTCCTTCAGATGCAAGTATTAAGCAGGTAGGACATAGATAGTACCTATGTTCTTTAGGTAACATGTACCTAAAGAAAGCCATCCCTATTGTGAAGTTTGTTTGGGAAGCCAGGCAGAGACCCTGCATACGTTGGAGCAGATATGCATTTGTAGAAGACCCTAAACCAAAATCCTCATTTTAAACAGATGGAGCTGAATACAGAACGAGAAGGGGCCATGGTGAATGGCATTTTCTGGAACAGAAAAGAAACACAGGGTCTTACAATTGTCCTTCTGGAGTTAAAACCGGCTACTGAAGGTACAGCAAGTCTGGAAGTGCTGCTAGGAAACTTGTTGGAGGACAGTAGCTGAGAAGGCTGCTTTGAGTCTCCCAGCAGAGCACAATCCACTAGCTGAACTGGGGTGAACTGCAGCCAGGAATAGGTAATCAACGAGATGTGAGGGTCAAAAGTCACAGGCATTGGATGCACATTCTAAACTATATGTGCATCTGCACACATATGTACATGTTTGTGTATCTAGTTCAACTAGTAGCTGAGGTGATGACCATATGTACAAAAATAACCAAATTGACAGTTCGGTAAAGGGAGGAAACCTTGAACCTAAGCAACAAAGACTAAAGCAAAATAAATCCATCAGGAGGGTATAAAAAGACTGCAAACCTGTAAAAACAGAGAGCAAGTAAAAGCACTTCAGGAACAACGGAGAAACAGCCTTAGCTTCAATGAATGTGCAGTTAGTATTTGGGGAAAACATAGAATTAGAGGGTAGATTGAAGACTCCATCTAATAGCACGTGTTAAACTTAAGAAGTTGAGGATCCCAGCCCCAGTTTGAGAAGTCTTTGGGGGTAAGAAACTCTAGATGTTCTCATCTCTAAACCGAGTATGTGAATTAAATGAAGAAGTTACCTGAAAGGTCATCCTGCTCCAAATTACTCTTAAGCATTTCAACTCCTTCAACCATGCCATTCTGGCAACAACAGCATAACATTTTAATAAAAAATAAGGCAGATAAAACCCCCTACATAAATTACAGATAAATTGGAGTTCATTTTCTAACCAAACTGTGAGGTAATTTGTGTAACAGGGGTCTCTACACCAAAATTCCAGCCTGATTTCATCCATTCAGACTTTTTCTCCCTGCAGTCTTGCTGGCCTCTCTTCCTGCACAATGATAATATCAATGCTGACTAAAACCTTGCATACATGATTTCAGAATACACTTTCACAAGCGTATCTTGAAATCTTCTTCACAAATGCTTCTTGCCACAGTGAAGAGTCATGTCAGCAAATATTAAAAGCACCAGGCCCGTTAGTAACAGTAGCTATGAAATGAGAGCAGTGCAAACTGCCAGAGCATTAAGGCTGTTGCTTTTGTTGTGGAAAGGGAGTGCCAAAGCAGATTGCATCCACTAGACAAATTGAACAGAGCAAAGAAATGATCCACTAAAATAATAGCTGTCTACTTCCCCCATAGCAATCTGTATTAATTCATCTCAGAACAACGAATGTATAGGAGCTGCGAAAGGACACAGCCAGAACCAGGAAGAGGGAAGAAAGAAGATGAGACACCCATGGCCGAAGTGTGGTGGGCATGATGTTGGGCTGAAATACATTGCTTCAAAAGCACTTACAACAGCTCTGACATGGGGAGGGACTCAGCTGTGAAAGTGGTGTTAAGATATCTGTGGCTGCTGCCACAGAAAATACTGAATTCCTGCCCAGGACCCTGATGGGTGTCCCTCAGCCCCGGGGAAGTCAGGCACAGACCTGCAAGAGGTGTTTTCAGCCTCTGGGACCTGCAGAGGGAGAGGCCTTGCAGGGGTGTGAGGAAATGTCACCCAGCTCCTGAGGACAAAAGCAGCTTCTCAGAGCTGGATAAATCCAGCTTGTATTCACAGAGAAGTTACAGGCTTGTAGGGCAGGGCACAGGTACTGAGATGCCAGTCAACATGGATGAATAAATTGGATCTGGAAGCAGACATAATGATGAAAGGAAAGTAGCTAGAGAAGGCAGGGCATGCCACCGAAGCCCCTTTATGAAGTGGGCTGAAGGAGAAATGTAAACGGGAGAAAAGTCCTTTACTTCATGAGTGCCTGTTGCTGGCCACTATGTCTTCCCAGCACAGGAGTACATTTGCTAGAGGGCTGCTAATGCAGACACGGATGGCATAGCACTATTTTATTAACAGACGTATTTTATGTACTGGGTATTTTGTCACCTGCAACTGCAGTGTTGGCATTCCTGGGGTCAAATGTAGCTTGTAACACTGTCACAATTAGCCATACGCAATGATTTACAACAGGATCCTGGAAAATAAGTATTGGCATTTGATCTGGATAGTGGGTCATGGTGAAAGAGTTTTAAGGATCAAACTAGGCACAACCTTTGTATTATAGCTTAACTAAAAGATCCTTATGAAACCAGAGAGCCTATAATTAACTTTATAAGAATACCTAGCAATGCAAGCATGTTGCTCAGGCTGCTCCCTGATCGCTCCCAGCAGAGTGCCAGCTCTTTCAGTGAACAAAGCAAAATCACTTGCTTTCTCCCCAGATGGAAAATAAAATTAGACTAAAAGAGATGTAAAGCTAAAAGGGAAAGGAAAATTGGAAGGTTTAAGGAGAGAGGGCAGACAGAAGGGGGGAGAGGAAAATGACTACTGAGGAATATTTGTCTTGCTTCCTAGTATTTTTGTGTGTTATGGCCCTATTTTGGGCTGCAATGTTATGCAAGTTCCCCAGCATTTTCTTACCCGCTATAACAGTGGTGGAGCCAGATGGATTTTGCCAAAAGAGGCTCCCACCTCTGTTTTGACTTTTGCATTCAGCAGTGGTACACAGTTGTTTTTTCCCTTAGCAGATCTTCTGCAGAATGGGTTCATGTTGGCTTCATTGCTTCCAGCAAAAAGAACATCCAAAACCCGTAACCACACAATAACATCAGGGTGAGGTTTAGTCAGCCACAGATTTGGGACCTGATTTCAAACACAGGCAGTAGATTTTCCCTCACATATAACTTTTTTATTTGTTTTCATACTTAAAATTCTCAGAAATAGTTCGGCAGAGAGTCATACAAATAAAGCATAGTGAGACTACATGGAGCCCAGGGCATACAGCATAAGGGCTGGGATTTATTAGAGATTTTAATGTAAGAAAAACATTGTCATTACTCATATGTAGGAAGTGGCTGCTTCCCTTAGCTAGAGTGGACAGGGGAGCTTAGTTGAGCCCCCTTCATTGCATGATACGGGTAAAGCATTTCCAGCAGCATCTCTGCTGTGAGCATGAGTTTCTCAGGAGAGGGAAGCAGCATGTAAGATTTGAGCATAAGATGAAGATTATGACTCAATGCATATTCTGTATAGGCTAGCTTCACATAAGGGCACTGCACACAGCAGCAATGGTGGCTTGCAGTTACACAGCTCACAGCCCTTTAACAACTCAAGAACCCCACCTAGCAGTGGGTATTTTAAAAGAAGAGCAGCTGTTATGGCTGCTAGCTCTTCCTCAATGCCATTGCTGCAGAATGCTGCCTGTAGAGGTGGCAATGGAGCACAGACCAATAATTTCTGTACTTCCGCAGTACACTCAAGGCTGAATAGCTCAAAAAATGTAATTATGATAGAAAGAGTATCCTGTGTAACCAGGGTTCCAGGTTCCTTCTTTGGTATCTGCCAGTGACATGCCTGAGCAGTCTCATGCCAGCTCTGTATAAGCAACCATCTCCAGTATATTAAGTGCTGTCCCACAGAGAAGTCACCTGCACCCTCCTGTCTGCCTCAGTGGACCAAACCTCTGGAAATGAGCTGCAGTCACTAGAAATGTCAGGTAAAGCTCAGGTATGTTATTTGCAGGTAGAAATAATGTTTCAGACAGTGGTATTCACTTAGACCAAGGCTGGGTC